GGCTTGGAGACTGCTGTTGACCTCATCCCTGGGTTTCCGTTTTGTAGTGTTACTATGGCTACCAGATGCAGGGGCCCAGGTCTCAGCTTTGTTTTTAAATCAGTGACTTGGAGTGCCTCCTTTTAAATTAGGCTGTCTGGGTTTAAAAACCCCAACTGTGTATCTCCTGTGCTGGTGTGTGACTTGAGTCTGCACAGCTGCCGCAAGCCTCTTTCCTCATCGCTAAGTGGTGATAGAAATCCCTGGGCCGTCACCAAAGTGCAGTGGGTAAATGACTGTTTTTGGACCTCGTAGCTCAGGTTCTGATGAAGCTCCTGGTGGACCAGCTGCAGTTAGTAGTTTCTTTAAGAGATAAGAGATGACTACATAGTTCACTTGTGATTTGAGCATCTACTTGTGTCTTTATGTTTTTCCCAGGTGAAGATCTTAACAACCTTCCCCTTTAAAGTTTAATGCCAGTGATTTGCTGCCCCCTGCAGGTTAATGTGAGAAACGCAGACTGAGTGCTTGTTGGCTGACTTTGCTAGGTCTGGTCATCTTGGTGGCCCTGAGGCCAAGTATGGCATTGTCTTTCTAGATGGCTTAATGAACTATTTCATTATTCCTTGTCTAGAATTTTGAGACTACATGTATTTCAGATTATATGTTTTTGTCATTGTTCTGGTTAGGGGATATTTGTGTGGACTTGACTCATTGAAAATGCCTGATTCAAAAATCCAGAACCTAAAATCCTGAGAAATTATACTGTTTCTCAGATTAAGTATTCCCACCCCTTGTCAGCACCCTCTTCGATTATTTTTGGAGTTGAAAATTCCCATGCAATAGTGATTTGATACTGTGTCGATCTCCTTGCCTGTTCAGACTTGCACAATTATGTTTGTTTAAAAGCATGGAAGAGCTCCTGCTACAAAAGGCAACGTTTAGTGCTTGAGCTCTCTTGCTCCTCTTTGGTTTGAGTCCTGTCGTTATCAAGGACCTAGTCCTGAGCCCCTCGTTAAGATCAAGACACATGATGTTTAGCTCTGTGTTGTGCTGGCTGGAGGTGGCTCACATGCTTGGTGTTTTCACCCACAGTCCCTTGCTCCCCTTGTCAGACAGTCTGACATGGAGGATGAGCACGGAAGCAGACTCAGGTTCTGCTCCTGACAATATGATACAGTAGCACCCTGCTTCACAGTCATCTGCCCGGTGTTGGAATTTGGGTGCAAATTCCAGGGCAACAGGCAGGAGCTGCCCCCATGACTGGATGCTGACCTAAGGGCTGGACTGAGTTTCTAAAACAAGGAAGTGCTGAAAGATTTAAAACTAGAGATCAGATTTCTATTGTGGAGAGAGTACTTGTGCAGTCCTAGTGGGGACTCTAAGACATCTTAGAGAGGACTCGTCTTAGACACTGTCCTACTGCTGTGAGGAGACATTAGGACTAAGGCAACTCTTAAAAGGAAGCATTTCATTGGAGGCTTACTTAAAGGTTCAAAGTCTTTGTCATCATATCCAGAAGCAGACAGGCAGGATGCTAGCTCAGTAGCTACGCCCCTCATCCTCATCTGTGGGCGGCATCTGTGGGCGGCACAGATACTGAGTCTAGTAGGGGCTTTTGAAACCTGAAAGCTCACCCCCAGTGACACAGCTCCTCCAACTAGGCCACACTAACTAATCTTTCCCAAATAGTTCCACAGACAGGGAGCCAAGCATTCAAACACATGAGCCTACAGGGGCCATTCCCACTGCAGCCACCACCCTCTGCTCCCGGCCCCATGGGCTTGTGCCTGCATAATGGGCTGTATTCAGTCCACCTTCAAAAGTCCCCAGAGTCTTTTACAGTCTCAACAGTATTTAAAAGTCCAAGTCCAACCCTTTAACCCCTGTAAAGTTAAAATCAAAAAGCAGATCACATACTTTGAGCATACAATGGGACTGAATATATATTACCATTCTCGGGGTGGGGGAGGGGCAGAGTGTGGTGAGGAAACACTGGACCAAAGCAAGACCCAAACCCGGCAGAGCAAATCTAAATCCCACAATGCTGTCTGATTTTACAAGGTTTTTAAGATGACTCTTCTCTTCCAGCCTTGCTGACAGCAACACACTTCTCTCTCTTAAGCTGGCTCCACAGGCTGTCTGCAGCTGTCCTTGGCAGGCCTCCCACAGCTCTGGCCTCTCCAAGGCAAACCAGGCTTCACCTTCAAGCTTCATTCAGTGGCCTTGCCAGGCCTCCATGTGGGTCCTCCCCTGCTTGGGCTCTTTGGTTTTCTTTAGCGTACCGAGGCTTACCCGAGGCTTACCCACCCCTTGATTGTATCAGCCAGGTATTGTCTCTGCTTCTGAAACCTTGGATTCTGCTTATTGGTGCAGTGTGAACAGGCTTATTTGTATTACTTTTGCTCCATTAATTATTCTTTCACATCTTGTGTGTGGGCCACTGTTTTGGTACTGTCATGTTAGTGATTATGATAATTACTAATTACCTTTAAAAGTTAGTACACAATAAAGCCCATGTCAAGTGCTTCTGGAATGTGTATTCAGCTACATGGCTTTCGTTGTTTCGTATGCTTTTCTTACATGTATTGTGGTCCGGCAGTGTGTTCTCCTCCTGCCTACCCACATGCTCTTTGTGTGCCGTGTACCATGTACCATGGTGCTGGTAGGGTTGCGGCGTTACTGGTTCATCCTCATGAGTGTGATGGGGTGAAGGACTTACAGGCAGAGGAGGAAGCTTTCCCTGGTCCTCGATGCAGCAGAATCTGTGACCTGGGAATGCTGGGATTGGGTGGGTAGACAGGCTAGGGTGAGTCACTGGTGTAAAGTTTAAGAAGGCACCAGAAAGTCAGTAATCAAATCATAAGTCAATACAACATTTTGAAAAAGACAAAATCAATGCAAACAAGCTCTGTGATAACAGTATGGGGAAGTTAAAGAGGCACGCCAGTGACTGAATCCAGCCGTGCAGAGCCACTTCGGTGCCTGAGGCGAGGGTCAGTGTCAGCAGGGATGATGCTTTCTGTTCTAAAGTTTGACATGTTAGGCTGTATGCGGTGGTGGCACACACCTTTAATCCCAGGACTCCAAAGGCGGAGGCAGGTAGGGTCTCTGAGTTCGAGGGCAGCCTGGTCTATGTAGTGAGTTCCAGAACAGCCAGAGCTACATAATGAGACCAAGAAATGGTTTCTTTAAATTCATGTTGATTTTAAAAATTAGATTAAAATATGTATTTGTTTTCTCATTGCTGGTAAAATAAAATACCCAAGAAAAGCAGTGTGAGATGAGAAGGGCGTACTTGAGGGCAGTATTGAGAGTTTATACTTTGGGCTCGGTGTTAGCAGGTGGCAAGTCCTAACTGCATCGGAGGCAGGCCAGGCTATGACCCCCCAAGTGCCCCCACTTCTGACACTTCCTTTGTTGAGGCTCTATCTTCTAAAAGCTCTATGACCTTTCAGAGACAGAGCCATATTGTATATCATACTTTGTAATTCACATAATTGTTACAGTTATGCTCAATTTATGTCTGAGAGAAGGGTGCTGCTTTTTTTTTTTTTTTAATTTGGACAGAAAAGGTGAGATGTTGGGGATTGGTTCTAATGTTCTGGCCCCTAAAATCAGAAATCTGTATATCCAAACACTGAAGATCCTTGTCCCTAATTGGTTTTTGATCAATCAATAAAGACCCAACAGGTAATGGGTGGGCAGGTAGACTGAGGTGGGACCTTTAGATTTTCGAGGGCTAGGAACTGGGAGAAAGGAAGGAGAGAGAGAATCACCATGACTGGGGGAGAAGGATGGGACACAGGAGTTGCAGGAGAGAGAGCCAACCAGCCCTGTGAGAATTCCTGTAAGTGGCAGCTGGCCACTTCCCAATTGGGCCTGGGGTAGCAGGGGAAGGTTTAGGAATGCCCAGCCTTTGAGCTAGTCATGGCAGGTTTCAAATTAACTGGCATCCACCAATGGTTCAAACATAAAAGCAATAAACCCCATGTGGGTTATTCAAACTGTAATAAACCTAATATTCAAACCTTAATAAAATAGAATTTTGCGGGGTTTGGTGGCTTCTTTAGATTTTCTACCCGATGTTTTAGCTGGGGCTTGGGCAGGGGAAGGCGGGAGCTGAAGACAGTTGCCACACTGGCCACTTTCTAGAAATGTGGTCTTCATAGCGGGCTCTCTTCAGGGAATGAGTAGAGTGGGTTTGGAAGTCTCCATGTTGTTGTTGGTCATTGTCTACATAGAAACAGCTGTTCGTCCTTAAGACAGGGCCTTACTATATACCCCAGGCTGGCTTAGAACTCACAGTCCTCCTGTCTCAGCTTCCTGGGCATTGGGATTGCAGGCATGTGCTGCCCTTCCTCATGGCATCCTGGCGAGGTTCAGTTTAATAAAAGCTGCGAGTTTCCTTCTTTTGCTACCACGTGGGAAGAAGCATCTGATTTGCTCCTTTATGCAGAGTGTCTGCACTGAGAGCAAATGAGCACACAGTCTCCTCTGTGGGCCGGTGTGCAGGGTTTAAAATCCTTCATCCCCACTCTGCTGATTTATCTGTGCAGCACTTTAAAGGTGGATGCTTTGTATTGTTGAGACATGATCTCCTGTCCCCCAGGCTGGGCTTGAACTTGACGTTAGCCGAAGATGGCCTTGACTAGTGACTGTCCTGTCTCCACTTAAGTGCTGGGATTAGAGGCATGCGTTGTATGTAGTATAAAGATAGATCATGGTGGGACCCCATTCTTCTGCTCTCTCATAATTGTCCTGAGACTGAAGTATGAGTGGAAGCCAAGGGAAGGGCAGTTTCTTAGTTCATTTGTTAGCATGCTATGTTGGTGGCTTTTATTAGCTGTCCCAGGTTTTTCTTTCATCTTTCCCCGAGATAGCTTGAGCATACATACAGAAAGAAAGTGGATGGCTATAACCTCAATGACTTTGTTCTGGTTGGGACAGTGGAGCAGCTATAGGGGGACTTACTTTAGCTTTCACACTTGACATGATTCTTTTTTCTCCTTAACCCTAAGGTCTGCTGAAGACAGAGCCAGTGGCCGAGGAAGGAGAGGATGCTGTTGCAATGCTCAGTGCCCCAGAGACGCTGACGGAGGAGGAACAAGAGGAGCTGAGACGGGAACTTACTAAGGTGAGGGACATTGTTTGTGGACCTTGTGCTTTGCCTTGCAGGTTTGCAGAGACCCTGGTAATAGCTCAAGAAAGCACTTAGAGCTTGCACAGTCCAGAGTCTCAAAAGGGCAGAAGAGACAAAGTGACCCCAGTTGGCTTTCTGTGACAGAAAGTGCGGGTTGGGTGGGCATGGGAGTCGGGTGCAGTGGGAAGTGAGGAAAGCTGCACTGTCAGACCCCTGGTGCAGGGGCGCTCAGCCTCTCGTGCTTTTGCTTGTGTTATGAATCTAGGCCTCCCCCCTCCTTTCTTCTTTGCTTCCGGCTTTAGCCTGACTTCAGGGCACATTTCAGCTCCCTCCTCTACTACCTTCCTTCTATACCATGGTCTGTCTCACAGTGGACAGTGAGTGTCACTCAGCACAGTCAGTGTCTTGCTGCTGTCACTCAGGTTCTAAGCATCGCTCTCCCGTCCCAGGGAGCCCTGTACTTGCTGAGGTGCTGCTTCCACTCCCCTCTCCACTGGCTTCTTTGTCTTATGAGTTTATCCCTTGTCTAGTTATTTCACATATAGTGTGTGGTCTCAGTATTTTGACTTCTTTCATCAGTGAATGTAGTACGTCTTTAGGGCTCATCGCTGGTGGATCATCTGCCAGGAACCGGTTTCCCTTTTATGGCCACTAGTCGTCCATTGTATATATCTATAACACCAAGTTTTAGTTTTAATATACCCATTGATGGCCATTTATGTTATTGACTGCTGTGGATACCAAACTAGCCACATTTATGTACAAATGATCTTTTTGAATTCAGTTGTTTTACATATATGCTTAGAAGTAAATTTATTTTACTATATAGTGATTCAAATAATTGAATTTAAATTTCTTTTTAAAAATTTATTTGTGAATGTGTGTTGTTGTGGGTAGTTACACAAAACAAACCACGCTAATCTGGCTAAGCACCACCAATGGTGGTCTTGCCGCACCCCCATGCTTCCCTGGCTAGCTGCCCGAGCTGCGCCCCCTGTGGCTAGCCTGCAGAAAGCCGGCTGCCACTCATTCAGATCCCCTAGACCCATAAAATGACAACAGTAAAGACTTGTAATATACCAGCCAGATTTATAACGGTAAATCTACAACCCCAAAATGTTCACACAAAAAACACGAAACTCAACTGATATAAATACAAGATTGATACACATACAAGCTGCATACCTAGACTGTGCAGAGGTGGACTGTGCTCCTCTGTCTGTGAAATGTCTTGCTACTTGCAACTTCTCCAGACCATGTGGTCAGCTCCATCTTCTCTCCTTCTGGTTCCATCTTGTCTTTCTCCCCTCTCTAAAACTTTGAGCTTTGCCTTTGCTTCCACTGCCCAATCACAGGCTCTAGCCTTATCTGCTGAAGAAGATTTCACCTGACCTCACCTGAGTACAGGCACCCCTTTTGAGGGAGCAGAAAAAACAGACAGAAATCCACAGCAGTGTGTGTGTGTGTGTGTGCGCGCGCACATGGAGGTCAGAGGACAACTCGCAGGAGTCACATCTCCTTCCACCAAATGGATTCCAGAGACGCTGCCCAGGCTTAGTGGCAAAGCCCCACATTTAACTTTTTTCCCCAACATAGTATTTTTATTGATTCTTTGTGATTGCATATCTTACCCCATCACATTCACCCCCCAGTCCCTCCCTATTCGACTCCCACCCCCGCCCTTGTGACCTCCCTTGGAGAAAAAAAAAAGTATATTTTGTGTTATCTATAAACTCACTGGAGCATGGTCAAACTCCCAGTGGCCTGCCCTCAGAGCAGAGCCCTTCCCCTCCCCCATCCCTGCTGGAAGCCATCTGTTGTGCAGAGTGACACTTCAGCAGACTATGACAGCTTTTAAGACTTCTCTTCAGTGGCTTCCTGTCTAGGCTGTTACTGGTTTTTTGGCTGTGTGTCTTGGTAGGGTGGGATGGAGGTAGGGGTTGTCACAGAAGTCTCCCATGTCCCTCTTACTCAACTGCATATCTGCAATTATTGATATCACTGCCAGATAAGTAGCTTATTTGCTCTTTATGTTCTGTGGGAGCCTGGCTCATGGCATTAACACAGACCATGAACAGTGTTCCTGGTTGCACCAGGGCTATGGATCCAGACAAGGCCCTCTGATGCAGCTGGGATCACTGACATCAGCATGGTTTTAGGCCACAGCATAAGTCCTGGCATCCACCTGGCCTTCGGTGGTAACACGGGCCACAGATATTAACACAGACTTGGCTGCAGTAAGATCATGGACCCAGACATGGCCCTCAGCAGCATCAGACTTGGCTGGACTGAGCTTCTTCTAGGTGGTTTGGTTGATTTGTATTTCCTAGGCAGCTGGACTTGTCTAAGCAACTTACAGTAATCTTTTTTGCTTCTATTTATTTGCTTGGGGAGAATCAGGGGCTTAGTGAATCTGGTCAGTTTCAGGGACTTCCTGAAGCTGTCTTGAGTTGTTATATTTCTTGCATTTAAGGGGCTTCCTGGTAGGATGGAAAGTTCCACCCCTTTTAGAGCATCCTGTTCCACCTTCCCCTTTAACATCCAGTATTTAAAGGAGCTTCCCTCTAGGGTTTTAATCTAGGAGGAAACTGCTTACCCAAGCCCATCTTTTTGATTACTTTGACTTACTGTGATGTGCCCACGTTTCCTCCCTGTTGTGGCGTGGAGCAGTATTTTTACAGCTGAATGATGTTCCATCATATGAACGTATTTTTTATAGCATTTCTAAAGTGGATGTAGGGTGGCTTTTCCATTGATAAATCTGTCACTGGTGGATGATGCTGATCACCCTGCCATTTGTCTCTTGTCATTTTTATATTTTCTTGTGAGTATTGTCTACTTCCTTTGCCCATTTAAAAATCCTGTCATTTGCCTCTTTATGATGGAACTGTGAGTTTCTTCATGTGTTCTAGATACAACAAGATACATTTACCATAGGCTTTGATGACATTTCCTCTATTCTGTTGCTTTCTTTTTATCTCACTGTGAAGTACATGCTTCCCCTGTTTATTCTCCCTCCCTCCTCCCCTCCCTCCTCCCCTCCCTTCTCCCCTCCCTCCCTTCTCCCCTCCC